TGCACATTAAAAAGAAGCTTAAATGCTAATTACCAGCAAAGATCATATGAACTAATCTAAATGTTGAACAGTATAGATCTATTACTGAAGAATAATGCATAATATAGTCTACTCACCGTTATTGCTGATTGTTGTTTGGACTGCAAATGTAAGATGTATCTGTTTCAGACAAGCAAAAATGGGTTTAAAAATTGAGGATTGCATTATAAAAATGATAGCCTTTAATTATTTTTATTACAAAAGTAGTTTATAAATATATTTATATTGAATGTTATTTTAAAACACATTTTGATGTATAAAATATGTAATAAAATTGCTGCCTAAAATATTGAGAATAGTAATAATTTATAGATTGTAGGTTTTTTATGAAAGGTGTTTGAATAGAGAAACAATATTATAATTTTGAATTGGTGTAAAAGATTAAATCTTTTTTAAAATCTATTTTAAATCCATCATTTAGTAAATAAATTTATTATCAATATATTAAATTCATAAGGAAAAACTAAACAAATAATTTCAAGGTTTTGTAAGTAGATTTAATAATTGTTTTATTAGAAATTTTTTTTATTGGCAGATTCCTTTATCAATTTTATATTCATGTGTCTGATTAGCATTATAAAATATTTTAGTCATTTTCCTCAATTTTTATTGAGGGTAGTTGGCAAAATATTTTTTATAATCCAATTGGTATTGTTTTACTCCAATCATAAACATTTTAGTAAATCTGTTTGTTTGTTCTAGTAAAGCGATATGAATGGATTTATATTTGAGGAGCTTCCTTAAGTGTTATTATTTTTTAGAATATAGTTTTTGCCCCTCTGCTTCACTTTTTTCTTTAATAAAGATATTCTATATTTTGAGGGATATATATATATATATACAGTATGTAAAAGGTGTTGCTCTTTTTGTTTAAAAATTGTTCATTGTTGTTATACTTTTTTATCTATTACTTTGGCTTGTAATTACTTCTAATTTAATTTGTTTTATTACTAGTAATTATTATTTTAAATTAAGGATTTAACAGTTTGAAACAAACCTTCATAGATTTTTAATTTATTTAAAGGCTGTTTTTATATATAATGAAATAAAATAGAAGGTAAAAACTAAACTTGCTAACATAAATTCAACAATTTCAGTAGGCTGAAATAAAATTTAGGTTATACATAAGCCTACATTTTATGAATGGGCATGAAAAAATTTAGTTTTATCCTAATAAAAGGAAATGACATCCTTTAAATTTTTCTTAGTCTTTAAACTCTCATATTTGCAAAAGTGTTGTGTTTATACTGTTTTCTTAACTCATTTTGATGTTGTAACTTACATGCTAATATTAGTTATATTAAATTTCTAAACTGAATTTTATTTGAATTAATTTGGAATTTTATTATACAGAATTCCAGTATTTATAGGGGGAGAGTTTATTGATATAACCTGGACAAATACTATTGTTTTTATATAAATAGGTCATAATAGTTAATTCAACATTAAAAAACATTTTTCTATTTATTGATTAAAAACTATTGTTTGAGTATGTTTCCTAATTATTTGATGTTAACTCATGTAATTATTGTTTTATACATTGTTTCCTTTTCCTTATTTAACTGAATATCTCTAATTTTCTTGTTTAAAATCATGAAGATCTTTTCTTGTTCTTTACAATATCTTCTGACAATTGCATTGTTTATGAATTAATAAACACTGATAAGATATCTACTGAATTCATATTAATTTAAAGGAAACATAGTTATATCATAATGAACAGTAGAAAAAGTTTTAAGACCATTTGAGATATTGAATAATAATTTTTGATAACTAAGATATTGATTTATTCTGTAATTTATTTCATAAAATATAAAGGAAATTTATTTTTTCCATGAAATGTATAAAAAGAAAAACTAAACTTGATTTATTGCTTTCACCTATTTCCTTATCATTTGGATTTATATGCTATTTTATTCATTTTGAATAAAAAATTTTTATTTTCCTACACAAACTTTTCTAAAATGAACATTTAATATACATTTAAAAAAAACAAATAACCAAATATGAAAAGATTTCAATTTGTGTTTTAAATCTGAAATATTTAACGTTTTAATGAATTTTCTAAATTATTACCACATAAATATACAAGACTTGATTAATGATTGACAAAACATGTTTTAATAATTCTTTTGTCTCATTTTATTATGATTTTTTAAACTGATTCTAATCTTAAGTTTATTATTCTCTTTATACCCAACTTAATTTGTTTTCCGGTTTATATATGTTAATTATCTTTTCTAAACTCTACTTCTTATACTTTGTTAACATTTGTGTATCTATTTTAACAGATTTTTATCTAGAATTTTAAGAACTCTTTAGGAAAAATTAACTAGTGAACGTTTTTTAAAAACATTTTTGTGAACTTATTCTAGAATGTCACCTTGAAATAATCAAAACGACTACGACTTCTCTATTTTTTCGACAGAATTATCATTATTATTTTAATAATCTGACGAAGAAATAAAATGGAAAACGTCACAGTTCAAAAATTGTGACTTTTAATTAATTTTAAGAAATAGTCTTACTCTTAAACGAGAAAACTTGAGTTTACTAATTAATGAAAATAGAACATAGTTCTTATCAGCTCAATGTCAGACATTTGCCTTTTTAATCAAAAAGTAAATTCTATAATCAATTCTGATATCACTCATTTTTGAGTGAAAACTTAGATTTTGTTAATTCAATTTCGATTGAATTAACAAAATCGAACTGAGCCGTAGAACTTATCATTTAGATATAACAAAGTTTAAATAACAAATTTTATAACTATATCTGAAAGCTAGATGATGACAGATGGAGTGAAAATGATGCGTCATCGTATTTTAATTGAGAGAAGTGGAAAGAGTTATAAATAATTATCTTGGTGATTAAGTACCTTGTTCTGTTTGTTCTTTCGTTCTGCATAACCGCTTTTGCCTGTTAAGAAATCAACTATAGAATATAATTTTACATATAAATGAAATTTTAATATATTTTCCAGAGATTTTAATATGTAATTTTTTCTAAATTAATTTCCTTCTTTTAAACGAGCTTTGTTTAAAATTGATTTTTTTCTTTTGATTTACTTTTTTAATAGGCTATATTTCGTTTTGAGATACATAAATAAACTAACAAAAAAATTTATATTTATACTCTTTGTGAAATTTCTAGCATCTCATTTACTGACATAAATAACACTTCGTAAAGTTAATTACAGAAATTGCTTTTAATTCCAAATAATTTCCATAACAAGTCGCAGAATTTCGTAACGATATCCGTAACACTTCCGAATGAATCTTAATGGCTTTTTGCTAATTAAAAAAAATAGATTAATTAGCAGTTATTATCACTAGTTAATCGTATATAAGCATTATTTATCATGCTGCAATTTAGATGTAGTCCTATTTATTTTTCGAAAACTTTGTTTTGCACAAAGAAAAAAATCAGAGTCAATTGAGAATTGCTTAAATGATGTCGGAAATAAATGCGAATAATAATATATATAAAGAGCTTTTTACAAATATTGTAGTGCAAACTCCGTGATTTGCTTTTATTATACGATAACTTCCTCTATTTGCTTTCAACGATTAACCGTGATACTGCGTTTTTCGTGGTATTGTACTCTTACGTAACTTAAATACTATTTTACAGAAAATAATAGCATTAAAAACAAAATTAGGTTAATTCGAATTTGATAAAAGTTTTCAAAAAGATTTTTGAAAAAATCTGAATTAATAATTTGTTGTGCGCTTATATTAAAATAATAACTTATATAAAACTTTAATAAGCTGTAGGCCTACATACAGTGAAAGTATTGTTTTCTTGAAAGAATGATATTGCGTATAAAGTGAAATACATTTGAGAATCGTATGTCATTTATTAGCTTCTAGACGATACCTGTGAAACTTGTCTGCCTTATTGTTTGTCTGACTATATGAACGGTATGGGTCAACCTATAACCATTTTAATGCAAGTCTATTTACTATAACTGAAAAGTAATTTAATGTAAGAAAGCTGTTTTGAAATGAAGAAATTGGCTTTCTGTGGTGTACTGCTACGAAAATATTCTCCATATCTGTAGTAGTAGTTTTCTTAACTTCATTTTTATATTTTGTTTTAAAACACGAAGAATTCTATCCATAGCTATACACAATTTGTAGTTGGAAAATTGCATGATAACCACGTTTGAATTACTATTAAATTTTCGTTTTAAAAATACAAATATATTATTTTTTAGTAATATTTATCAGTAATTACAAAATAATAATTACTGATAGGAGTAATAGGCGAAAACAAAACTGTCCTAAATTAAAATGTAATTTATTTATTTATCCCATAATCGTACCCATAATGATGACATTATTGTAAAAAAAGAAAAATCAGTAACAAGTTGACGTTTTTCCTGGTTTATAGAGGAACGAATATTTGCTTCATTCCTATTTTACGTATTTTATCTTTATTTTATAAATACAGAAAACACATACTGTATCGTTTCTACGATTAATATATTTCTTAATCTCTGCTAAATCGGAATTAGAATGTTTTTTATGAAAAAATATATATCTAGATACGTAGTCTGAAGGAAATGGAACGTTTTTGAATAAATACAGCAAACCGGTTGTGCTGGAGTAGATGTACTTCTGAAGAAAGTTAATTATTTTTCGTATTTATTAAAATGAGAGTTGCGTGTTGTCTAGAGACGTAACTATATACACGTCATTAATACGTTTTATTGTCATGTGTATTACTGTTACGTTCCATTTTCGGTTTATTTATATTACACTAAAATTGGTAAATATTTGAACGAATCGATCGTAAACATGTTGAGCATTTTAAATTCGCATTGTGATGAACTCGTTAACTAAAAATCATTCTCTCGTGAGTTTGGTATATTTTTCTTCAATTAAAAATTATTATTCATATATTTAAAAAATAATCATTTCAGATTTATAATGATTTTCTTATATTAAATATGAAGAATCAAATTCAAGCTTGAAGTTTTCGGTCTTAATTATTCATGGCCTTAGAAAACTCAGCTTGAATCATCATTAACTCCTATTGCCTGCATTAAATGCTCTTTTAATTGAATTAATAAGGATTTAAGTATTTAAAACGTCTCTCTATATATAAATAAAAAAGGATCCGTGATTTTGAACGCTTTATTGACTAACATGAAATTTTTTTTATCTCCCTTAATATATTATAATACAAATAATCGATAAACAATATTTTTATTATATCGAGCGAATTACCTTAAGAGTAGTTACCGTGTAAAAGAGGGAAGGCTCGATTAGTGGCATTATCGTAAAACCTGGAACAGACCACGTGTTGTTAGGTAAGAACGGATGCGGAAATGAAATATCGTAGTATGGAATGCGGACAGCCTCGAGGCGGCAAAGTGGCGGAGCCACTGTTCTGTTTAACTGCATGTGGCCAGGTGCCTGTTTCGCGCACATTGACATGGGGAGTGGACTCTGTCGAATCAAACGCAAATGGACGCCACATCCCGCGTAAGTTAACGCTGTTAAACGCTTGCAATATGGAATAGCATATAATTTTCTTTTTTTTTTTTTTTTTGCAGGGCCGATATCGGATTAATAGGTCTGGCGGTTATGGGCCAGAATCTCATCCTAAACATGAACGATCATGGATTCGTCGTAAGTAATTCGATGCATCGTTATGATTCTTATGTAAACTTTAGTTCTTTAATCGTCACATTCTGTAATTTTGATCGAATTTTTCATTAAAATATTATGACGTTCGAGGAGTGGCTACGGTAAACGGACGGCCTTCTCCGATAGTAACTAGTGTTTTGCCGGCAAATGGGCCATTAATAATTACTTTATTGTGAAAAGTGGGTCATATAAAATTAGTGGTTTCGTAGTAAGTGGGAATGTTGACTTAGATCAATTTCTTGACAGGTGTGCGCCTATAACCGAACAACGGAAAAAGTGGACCAATTTTTGCGTAACGAAGCTAAAGGAACGAAGGTCATCGGTGCACATTCCTTGGAGGAGTTAGTTGCTAAATTGAAAAAACCTCGCCGTGTTATGCTACTTGTAAAAGGTGGATTAATTGTGTTTATTCGCAATAGTGATCCTGACACACATGACCTGTCTTATTGTTTATTGCAGCTGGCGATGCAGTGGACAGTTTCGTGGATAAATTAGTTCCGCTGCTAGAACCGGGAGACATAATTATCGACGGTGGTAACTCCGAATATGTCGACACCACTAGGCGATGCAAGGCTCTGGAAAACAAAGGCCTACTGTATGTAGGCTCGGGTGTCAGTGGAGGCGAAGAAGGAGCACGATATGGACCATCGTTAATGCCTGGAGGAAATCCAAAAGCATGGTAAGTTCCGTTAATCTTTCTGCGTATCCGAAGACTTATTAATTTTTTATGTATATATACAGGCCTTACATTAAAGACATATTTCAAAACATCTCTGCTAAAGCTGATGGCGAACCATGCTGCGATTGGGTAATTATTAAATTCTCGGAAATCGTTTCAAAATATATTCAAAGTCATAGTTTTATTACTTTAATATTAGGTAGGAGAAGAAGGAAGTGGCCATTTTGTGAAGATGGTCCATAATGGAATAGAATACGGTGATATGCAGTTAATATGCGAAGCGTATCATTTGATGAAGAGTGCCTTAGGTTTGAGCAACGATGAGATGAGTGAGGTGAGGTTTGATCGTTATTTTTTGCTTTCTAGAATATTTAAAATTGATACGAGTTTTTATTTTTTAGGTATTTAGTGAATGGAATAAAGGAGAGTTAGATTCATTCCTAATTCAAATCACTAGTGATATATTGAAGTTCAAAGATGACGATGGTGAACCGCTCCTAGAGAAGATAAGAGATGTGGCCGGACAGGTAAAAATTGATTTTTCTATTCTCTCATAGCGAAAAGCATCCTTTTATTCTAAAATCTGCTCATAGAAAGGAACTGGAAAGTGGACAGCAATAGCAGCCCTCGATTTTGGAATTCCCGTCACCTTAATAGGTAAATATTCATTTTTTTCCTCAAAAATGTACAGTGTTTTGACTATTTAAGAAAATTATTAGACATGTTAAATTCTATTGTAGAGTATTAAATTTGTGTAGAATTTTTAATAATAACGATATTGGAAAAAATATTAAAATAAAAATTAACAATAACTTCCTGTGTGCCTANTACAACAAAATCCAACATGACACATCATATATATATAAAATAAACGAAATAAACTATACATAGTGCTTGGGCACTACAATTGTTTGGGAATAAGTATTAATACTAATATCAGATTTATTTTGTCATCACAGCAATTAATTTCTATAACTTTGAGATTGTCTTTTAGTATTGTCGAGTGTGTTGTCTCTTTGGTTGTTTAATGTTTTCATGGATGCATGCATAAGGAGATCCAAGGTGCTTGAGTGTGGAATGAGAATTGGAAATGAATAAATCTGTCATTTGTTGTATGCAGATGACAGTGCTGTTAGCAAAGAACATGGAAGAGCTTCAGGCTCTTATGTCTAATTTTGAAAAGGTATGTGAGGAATATGCTGCAAATGAATATGAATAAAATTAAGGTGATTGTGTTTGAATGCAAAGGTGAGCAAATGGCTTGCATGTTGGGCTTGGTGGTAAACTGGAATAAGTGAATGAGTTTACATATTTGAGAAGCATGATTGATAGAAATGGAAGGATAGACTAGGAAATTACCAGAAGAGTAAATGCATGAGTACAGGTGATGAATGCAATGAGTAAATTTGCAACAGATAACCTGGTAATTACATAGAAACGTTCCCAAATAGAAAACATTTATTAAAGTTTACTGGAAACTTCATACTACAACAACAACAACAACAAAAATGCTTTAAATTGAGTTGAAAATTTAAAAAAGTGAACTTAGATCAAACTTTATGTAGTTTTCATTTTTTAAATAAAACATATTATAAAAATTTACAATAATATTTTGTATTAAGATTTTAAAAAGCAAAGATGGTCAATACTCCAATCACTCAATCTGATTTTTATTTTACGAGTTAGTAATAAAAAGTCCTGCTACTGAGAATGCTCTTTCTGATTCAATTGATGTGAGTGGAATCGTGTTTAACGCATTTAAGAGAAGACCAATGTTATGTGTTTTTTTCACCTGTAGCCTGGAAGATTTCTAGTTCATTTTCGAGATTGTAGTACTTCTTTTGCTCTCTAGTATTCTTGATTTCTCTATCTTGGTTGCTTTAATAGAAACATCAAGCTTATAGCCCAATAATTCGGCAGTTCATTTGTCTTTAATAATCAGGTTTATGAAGAAACACTTCATACTTGAAGACTTCATCGTTTGTATCCTTGACCAATTTGCACAACCTGATGTTATGCAGTTATTGAAGCTACTGGGCATGGTTAAAAATTAAGACAACATATACCACAATTATTCCAAGTATTACAGGTTCTGACAAGTAAAGGATTTTCAGAGTCCTGCCGCAAATAAGCTACATATTGATTGACTATTTGTGACATTGCCATTATGAGCAAAAATTTAAAAACTAATAACTAGGTTTAAAATTAATAAATACAAATGTATTCTGACAGTTTGAGTTAATTATACTTTCTATTTGCAAAATTTTCTCAACCTTAACACAAAATAAGAAAAAAGTGAACTTTTTAAGAAATTTATGGGATTTACTGGGATGAGAAGAATTTCCCAGGATATTTCCTGGGTTAAAAAGACAACTGGGATCTTGTTTGAGAACCCTATTTGATATTGACCTATGGGGTCAATATAACAGTTTTGAAAGTTAATTGGGAGCAGATTGAAAATATGTTAAAAATTATTAGTTTAATACTGGCTTACCATATTTCTTTATTATTATTATTATTATTATTGAAGAAATTTTTTGTTTTACAACTGATATGTTCCTCAATGAATAAATACTTGTAAATGGTTTAANGTTACAGTGGAACTTTAATGTCTTTCATGTCGTATCCTTTAACCGAAACTGTACCAAAAACTTTTGACGAACTAGCCGTTGCTGTCAAAAATGGTGAATACTCTTGTTGTATGATAGGAAAAGCATCTGTATGGAGTAGTGTTATGGTAAGTACAGACTGGCGATATTGGAAGTTTGTCTATTCAAAGCAATCTGTATCTGTAAATAATAAGCAGTTAGCACAACACTTTGTATACGGATTATGTAAAAAATGGAAAAAAAAATTTCACCACAAAATTTAGTTCAAAAACCTCTTCCACAATGTTCTTTACATGCTTTACAGGCAATCACAGGAAACAGAACAGCAATAACACAAAGAAAATGTATTTATTCTTCCAGCGAGAAACAAGTCTTCTGCATAGTATGTTTACTGATAAAAGGAATGTTTCTCAAGATGTGCCTTATTATTCAAATATAAAATTTTGTTTGCAGTGTTATTAATGTTATTGTTTTCAGCGACTCCATTTGTAATATTTAAAATAACATTAAAATGTAACTTAACGTTCGTTGGTATTTACTGTGTTTCGAGCAGTAAACTTTCCTGTAAAGTGCCCAGAAAATTTTCGACTTGATATTTTTTGCAAAACACTTTTTATCGTTTGTTGCAAAATCTATTTCTGAGGTTTTCGTTATTGACTACCGATACAGAGTGCACTGAATAGGGAAACTTTAACAATGGACACCTAGTATAACAAGTTTTGCATTTACTACTTGTAAAATATTTTATAATTTTGTTTCCTGCATATTGTTTAAAGAATTCCAAGAAGAGAAGAGATAAAATTTTTAAAGATCACATTTTACGTCACAATCATTTCTTCTCTTTGTGGACAGCAAGGGATAAAGTTAAAAAAGAACGTTTTGCTTTGATAACGAGTGAATATGCTGCAAATAAACTAATACAAAAAGAACCACACCGATATATAATTTCTGCTGAAGTTCTCGTAACTTTTGTTCAATCATATGCTGTAAGAAAGGGATTTCCGTTTAAGAAGAAATTAAGTAAAACGTAAGCTAACCTTTTGTTAACCTGTATGATGTTTTCTATGAGGAAATAAATAATTAAAAATATACTTCTTTTATAGCGTAATACGTTTATTTGAAGCTGGAATTATAGAGAAAAAAGATTATGCAGAAACATCAAAGCTGCTGAAGTATTCAGAATTCCAAGCATTACAATTGGCTGACATTATTAGCCCAATGATATTGCTTTCGATTGGAATTATTATAGCTTTAATGTGCTTACTTGTAGAATTATTCTTTATAAGAATAATTGAAAATTAACACCTGCAAGCAAAAATATGAATATTTGTTTAATGTTTTTCATAAAACATTTAATACTAAATATTCATGAAAATTACTAACTTTATTCACACAGCTTTCATATACACTGTCAGTTACACGATTTTGAAGTTATTCTCTTATTCAATCAAGTATTTTAATTTACATTTGTTTACATTTGTTTTTGTATTTAAACTTTTATTAAAATGTTCATTTGTAGTATCTATACTTTTCTATGAAATGCTTTATAAAGCATTCGATAAGTTATATTCCATTTATTAATTTTATTCATAATCTCATAATTTCTTTGCTTTGTTGTATATAACAGAGGAAAAGTATGGCGATTTATCAAATAATTATTCTATTCAGATTTAAAAATTGTTGAATTTAGGAAGTCTTGAAATAGCCAAAATTAAAAAAAATTGGGTATAATTTCTATATGTATGGATGTTAGTGAGTGGATGAGAGCACGATTTTTTCACCTTTTTTAAAGCTTAATAACTCATGCTTTTTGTGGAAAATTTCTGAAATTTTGCCGGGAAGTTTGTATTTTATAGGGATGGATGCTATTATATTTTTAAAGTTGAATCTCGATTGGGTAAAGAAGGTCATGTTTCATATCTAGATTAGAGTAGAACATATTAATGAATTTAGTCGTTATTACCGTTTATTATTTTTTAAAACAAAAGTAATTCCTGCCTTCAAAATAACGATTTTTAAGATTATAAAATAGTAAATAATATGAAAAGATTTTTATAATAAAATACCATAACAGATGTTGCCATACACGCAGTTTTAAATGTTTCTGACAAAGTAAAGCAACTTGCCGCTTGATTCCTCAATGTATTGCTACTGCATTCTTGCCTTTCTGTTTGTTCTTTTTAAAATTTATTTGTTTCATTTGTACAAACAAACTAAACAAAACGTTGCACGTAATATGACAGGCTAATTTTTGAAAGACTCGTATCTTATATGCAGATTTCATACACAGGGCTTACGGGAAAACTAATGCAGGACATTCAGCAGTTTCTGTAGCCGTTATGCTAGCCTCGTTTGCAAATAAATTGTCTACATCTGAATTCTCTACATCTGCAAAGCCGCTTGATTGCACTGTTAGTTAGTTTGTTCGCAGTAAGGAAAACTGTTTTATTTACACTGTCTTCATTTTTCGCCACTGCAGAAGATGTTCGCGATGTGTATAACTTCAGACATATGTTTAACTGTTAAAGCCTTTCTCATTTCTGTACTTTCATTATACTTTTTTTAAAATATTGCGCTACTAATTGGTATAATACTAATTACTTTTGTTGAATTTTGTTTAATTTCAAAAAGAAATCAAATTTTTTCTTTACATTGTACTGTGCGTGAACAGAAAACTAAAGATTGTTTACCGGTAAATATAACAAGATTTCATCAATGCATTAAATTCTTTTACTTTTGTTTAAAGTAAAGCTAACTTCTAATCCATTATTTGCAGTTGTTAATAAATTAATTCCGCATTTACAAAAAATTTTTACTTTCAATTTCCCTTTCTTCCCTCAGACTTAAAAAATTCAACTTTTTTTAAAACCTTTATAACCTTTTAAGTAGTAAACATTATAAGTAAAAACGAAAAAAAACAAGTAATTTAAAACATTTAATAAAGTGTATTACCTGTATATAATTTAATAAAATAAACGGATGTTCACTGAGGATAAACTGCTCACCATCATATTGTACGATTTTTCCCGACTTATGTAAATCCCTTTC